CTACACACCCAGCGCATGGAAACTGGCCAGAGTAGTATTTATCCCAAAGGCAGGAAGAACGAGCTACACTAAGGCAAAGGATTTCAGGCCAATTAGCCTAACATTGTTTCTCCTTAAGACATTGGAGAAACTGGTGAACGCGTATCTGAAGGAGACAACTCTGTAGAGTCACCCTCTCCACAAAAATCAGCACGCGTATCGTTCGGGCTATTCCACCGAGACTGCTCTACATCAAACAGTAGCGTTTATTGAGGAGCAGCTGGAAAGGAAGGGCTACGCAGTGGGTGCTTTCTTGGACATAGAGGGCGCCTTTAACAACACACCGCACGAGGTAGTGTGTGAGGAAGCCGCCAGAAGGGGTGTCTTGATAAAGCTCGTCGAATGGATCCGGGGCATGCTAGAGAGGCGTCTGATGACTTCGCTGGGAACTGCAAAAGTCTGTGGGTGGGTGGGAAGAGGCTGCCCGCAGGGCGGAGTACTTTCCCCACTTTTATGGTGCCTGGTAGCAGACAGTTTATTAAAGGCACTAGACGATAGAGGCTTTACTGCACAAAGCTACGCGGACGACGTGGCAATACTTGTGCGAGGCAACACTTGTGCAATCCTTTTCTAGAGACGCTTCTAGAGCTCATGCAGGGGGCACTGGAAGTTGTAGAAGAATGGTGTCAGAGGACGGGTTTGACGGTAAATCCACTAAAAACCGGTCTTACTGTCTTCACTTGCAAATACAAAGTGAGCACCATTGTGGGACCCACTCTTGAAGGAGTAAGGTTAGTTCCGACCGAATCAGTGAAATATTTGGGAGTTATCCTGGATAGGAAACTGCTTTGGGAGGAGCACCTTCGTAACCGGTGCAAAAGCTTGTGCCAGTATTTTTGGATGTGCAGAAGGACCGTTGGCCAGACTTGGGGTTTGAAACCGAGTATGATACACTGGATCTACACAGCCATGCTTCGCCCCAGACTCACATACGCAGCTGTAGTATGGTGGACTAGGGTGCAAAATAAAACAGCCAAAGTTGCGCTGGAGCATGTCAGGGCTCTGATTTTGAGAGGGGCCCTAGGTGCTATGGTTACGACACCAGTGGCGGCGATGGGCGTAATGTTCGGCATCGAACCATTTCATCAAGTGGTAGTGGCTGCGGCAGCAGTGGCGACATACCGTCTAAGATGCAAACTAAAATGGAAGAAGGGAGCCCAGCATACGAGGCTGCCGGAAAACGTTCTACTGGATCCAATATTCGAGATGCGACAGGACAGAATACCTATTATTCAGGCTTCTGATAGGCGCTTCAAAGTGCATATACCGAGGCCGGAGGAGTGGGAAAAG